AAGGAAAGGAAAGGAAAAGGAAAAGGTAGAGCATCCCATAATTCCTTTTCTTTTCAGTCCCTCCTAACTCACCAGTAAGCTGAAGGTAATGTGTTAGTAGAGTATCAAGACACAGTGCATATCAAGACATGGAATAAAAACAGTTGAGTTAGTTTTGTACAGTACTTCTATAAAATACATATCCGTATATGAGCTATGAAATCCGAATTGTGTGATTTTGGTAATTTCACATATGAGTTAAATGCTCTCATGTGTGAATTTAAAACTGTGTCATTGCACAATGTAAAGATGAAGGGTAAAAATCATGCTAATAATTTAACATTTCCTTTTTTTTTTAAATTAGAAGGGCATTAAATAACAAAGAAAACATGATGATAAGTTGGTAAGTGGTAGACATTGTGACAAAAGAAAAAAGCTTTAGTTTTTAGTACCTTTAACTGCACTTTTTTTCTGCTCTTTGAATGAAGGGTACTGCACTTTTGTTTGGCACTGGGCTGCACAAATCATGCAGTTGGCTCTGCTGAAGACTTTTCAGTTGCAATTGTCTGCTTCATTTTTACTAATTATGGCTGAGAGGACTACATCAGTACTAGCACCATATTCCTGAGTTATGGAAAGGAAAGATCAAATTTGTGGCTCTTTGACAACTCCTTGAAAATTTTCTTGGCACTTTCAAGAAGTTTTGAGTAAAACTAATACCTTCTCAAACACAGTAACAAAAATAGTTTTTTTTTTAAAATTCTATTTCTTCTACAGTGATATTGCCTTATTTTATCATTATTACAATTTTTTTTCCTACTGGTTTTCACTGAAAAGATGTAGTATTTCAGCTGTACGATGGGCTACATAGACTTTGGCCAGCATAAGAGCCTCAATAACCACGTGCTTCCTAGGGCTGGGTTGGGAAACTTACTGTCATCTGTGTCCAGGAGAAAAGTGTTTTAAGTGCCAAATAACTAACTTATAAGCTTTTTTGCCCCATAGACTATTTGCATATCAAGAGCTATCTCCTTTTGGTTTGTATTTTCTTATGGTTCAAATATGATGCTTGAGATATATATAGATATAGATATAGATATAGATATATCTATCTATATATATACTAAATTTGCTTAATGATTGGAAAAATTGTATATGTTTATTTGAGAGCTTGGTGTGTTATTGTCCTTTGGATTAGCCCTAGTCAGGAAGAGGCAGGACATATGGACAAGAGGCAGAATACAGGGGCAAAATAAGTTTCAAATTTTGTACCAAGATTCAGACATTTCCCACTCATTTTCTTGCTTCTGTAATGACCTCTAGGGATACTTATTGTAAGTCATTTTTAATCATTCCTTTCTTTAGTCATTCAGTCATTCAAACCCGAAGAGATTAGGCATTTTCTATGAAACTTTCCTATGAGAATAGAGAAAAATTTCAAAATGCTATTTATCTCCAAGAATTTTATTCGTCTTCAGTCAGTAAGAAGAGTTAGGCATTTTAACTTGAAAAGAAAAAGAAAATAATAAAAATAAATGATAAATGATAAAATAGAAAGAATTCCCTGTAGTCTTTATGTCAGTTGTGGTCACGTGTAATAACTATTCTTCTACATATTAAAATCCGTCTTTTCCAATTCATCTTTTGAATGCCTATTCTTCTCAATTGCTACCATCATAAATTGAAACTGGCAACAGTAGCCATGAACAACTGCCTGTATTTGGACTTTTAGGTCACGAGCTCAATATAAACCAGGTTTGCCTGTCTTGAGTTCTATTCTTGCTATATTTTATTACTCCCCCCACCCTTTTAGTTATATTCTCATATCTCCCTACTATGTAAGGGAAGTAGCTTATAAGAGGACAAGTAGACATGTAATTTAAATGGTCTGTTTAGGTAAACTTAACATTATGTTTTTAAAAAGGACTTTTATATGAGAAAGCCTTCTTTCAGTAAGATGATTTTTCTGACATGTTTTGTTTATAGAACATGTGTACTTTTTACAAAAGGAGGGACTGTCACAGATTGTAAATTAAGAAGGGAAGCCTTGGGGCACCAGGGTGGCTCAGATGGTTATGCATCTGCCTTCGGCTCAGGTCATGATCCCAGGGTCCTGGAATCGAGCCCCGCATCGGGCTCCCTGCTCCGTGGGCAGCCTGCTTCCCCCTCTCCCTCTGCTGTTCGCCCTGTTTGTGCTCTCTCACTCTCTCTCAAATAAATAAATAAAATCTTTAAAAAATAAATAAATAAAATAAATAAATAAAAAGGGAAGACTTGCCATCATTTCTCTTATTGAACCTTTGGTGTTTATTTGCAAAATGTGTCCCTGATGCAATCATTTAATTCCATAGCTTTTAAAGAATGGAAGTTTATTTTATTTTTATGGAGACGTCTTCTCTCAAGATGTTCTTGGTTTAAGTTTATTTCCCAGGTTAATTACTTTTATTAAAAATTGTTTTCGTGTGCAACCTTAAGACAGATTTATGTGCCACTACTATAGCCAATGTTCCTATTGGGAAACTATGAGGGACCACTAAAATTATCAGAGATTGCATTCTCAGAAATCTCTAGTATGGAGATTATTCCACTGCCATACAGCAGCAACAAAACCACAAACACCCAGTGGTTTTTAAGCATCTACTGTGTATCAGATTTTTTAAAAAAAAAAAACTGTTATTTCATTTAATCCTTACGATAATCCCGTGAGATAAAATGATATTCTAGGACTAACTCGGATTCCCCTACCACCCCACCCTTGCCAAGAGGCTTTTAAACCCTTACATTGGCACATTACCATGTGTAAATAGAATTTCCATATTCTTTGTGTACATTAAAAAGGTCTAAGTGGGAGAGAGTTTAGGGGTCCTTCGTCCTTAACAGCTAATAGCCCTGCCTGGTTATTTCTAGAAATGCAACCAATCCAGTAACAGGAAACTAATTTTTTTAGTGCCTCAGGAAACCCTGTTCCTTCTACTGACGGCCTCATTCCGCGCATGAGTCTTAATCCACGGGACCTGGTTTTCTCAACTGGGTGACCCAGCACAAATTTGTTACCCTCTTCCTTCCGTTCTGTGGGTCTCAGATTACTTACGTGTGAGATCAGAAACTTGGATAAAGTTTTCCTGGACTTTCCCTGAACTGACTCTAGATGTCAGAGGAAGTAAGAGGAGAAATCAGGAAAGATGAGTCAACCAACCTTTCAAAGTCTGAGAAGGACAGACCTATGGGGTTAAACTCGGGGGTGGGGGGACGACAAACAGAGTAAGATCCAGGTTGCCGCAGGCCCAGCAGCGAAGACCCAAGGTCCAAAGACCCTGAGTCCGAGCCCCTACAGCACCGGCCCCTCTCCGGAAGCCCCGCCTTCTCCGGGAGCCGCGTTCACGCCACGCCCCTGCCTCACTACCTGCGTCGACGGTGAACTACATTTCCCAGAATGCCATTCAAGCCACCTCGCAAGGCAGCAATAAGTGTCTGGGTGACGCCATCAGCCGGCGCGATGTTTAGACTCCAGTGATGTCGTGGCGCTTTGGGGAAAGAAGTTGGTGTTTCTCTGGGCCCTGGTACTGAAGACGCCGTCCGGGGGATCCCGGCCCCTTCCTACCCACCCCTCCGTCTGATTTTTTCTTCCCTACTCTGGCAGGATGAGGCGTGCAGGCCTGGGTAAGAAGAGGGCTGAGGTTCGATGTTCGGGGGCCCCAGAACCGGCCGTGCTGGGCGCGGGGACGCGGAAGGAAATCGGACCAATCTTATGTCACTGGAATCTGGGCCAGAAAGCAGGATGTATGGAGGGGTCTTTGGAGGCGGAACCAAGTAGAAACACACCATTTGTACCAGATCTTAGGGGTTTCCTTTAGTTTGGTTCAGTCCCAAGTTTGAATGGTAGGTTTATAGAGAGTAGCGGAGGAATGGGGGTGGGGTATGTACAGGTGCCAACTGAACTGCCAAGTTTTTTAGTGTTGTCGACTGTCAGAGAGTGATTACGAAACCTGAGTTTCCCCAAGTCTGGCTTCGGTGTCTCGTACTCCACTCGTCCTGGATGTTAGTTTTTTCAGAAGCAAAATTTGAAGAATGAATGTTGCATGCGAAGCATACTAAAAGCAATCATATTAATCTGGTAACAGTGAATTGCAAAGGTAAATGTACCTGTCGTTATTGTTAAAGGCCATAGTATATAACATCGGGGTCAAAGGTCCTTAAACCCAGAACATTTTTTATCTGAGTCTTGTTCCACTGTGAAAACTTGGGAAACAGGTTCACCAAGCACAAGGACTTTGAAGGGGCCATTATAACGTACAGCTAATAAAACAGCCCTTTCTGGGTTTTGAAGCTCTCTATTAAGAGACTTTTTAAAAAGAAAAGAAAAAAAAAAAAAACCCTGCTAAATCAGCGTACAGCATACCTGAGAAAATATGTGGGATATTTGAAAAAAGGTAATGTTACCTTTTTCAGTGGTTACAATTAAATGGAAAAAGGAATAAAGTTTTTCAAAAGTGTCAGGTATTTAAAGTTGGTGAAAGTTGCCAGTAACTTTAGACTTGCTCATTGATTTAAAAATTGTAGTATGAGAAAGAGCTTTTGAAAAATATAGCTTTTATGAATACTTGGCCAAGTAAGTTGTAGAGAAAAAAATAATATTGAGCAGTTTAGTTTTATATGCCTAAATTTTTTTCTTTTTATCATTATTAATGATAACAAACATTTAATGTGTACTTAAAGTTAGCTGTAGGTATACAGTTGATTGTGGCCCTGTTTGTGCTCCCACAGCTTCCAGTCTAGTTGGTGAGTAGGAACATAGTACAAGGTGATAGTTGCACATACAAATAGCAAATAAGTTATACAGCTAGTGTCTCAGGGATTTCAGAGATAGAGCACTGCTTACTTTGTAGAGACATAAGAACTCGAACCAGAGCTTGATTAATGGAAGGTGAGAGAGGCAAGTTCCAGTTGGAAGCAAGACTTCCCTACCCCTCCTCATAGCCCCGAAAAGTTGTAGGACTAGAATTAGGAATGGTGTGTATAAGGGATTACTATTAAGCCAGTGTGACTGAAGTAGGAGACATGGAAGCAGAACCCCATTGAGGAGATACTATGAGTGCCAGGCCAAGGAGTTTAGATCTCATCAATAGGTCCTTTGGCTCCCGTGAATGTTTTTGGTGCAGCAGTGTGCATGATAAATTGCAGAAAAGGGACTTGAGAAGCTGTGGTTCTCAGCCCTGACTGTACATTAGAATCACCTGGAAAGCTTTTAAGGCACTGATACCTGGACTGGAGTCCAGACTAATTATATTAGAATCTCTAGGATAGAGCCTCCTTCCTTGCTCCTTGCCACCCCCCGCCCCCCAGAAGCTCCCTTGTAGTTGGGTGGAAAGATGCTTGCTTAAGTGTCTATTGCTATCATTTACAATGGTGTAATGCGATTTTTTTTTTTTTTAAGTATCAGATTGTATTGACCTGGAATTTTAAACTTGGGACAAATAAGCTGATAGATGTTCATATGGCACACTTCCCATGAACCTCTAAATGACTTGGCTCAGTTATTGATAGAAACTACCCTAAAGAAGTAGCATTTGTCTAAATGGACAAAGACTGAGGATGATCTTTGGCATTCACTAGCTTTCCTACAACTTTTCATACTATATTTGTGGAGTTTTATGGATAGTGTATCAGCAATTGAGGGAAAATTTGAGGAATGCAACTCCCGGAACATACTTGTTTAACATTTTGTTGTGGTTTTTGTAGTGGTGGGAATTGTGTAAGTGTCTGCTGTATATAGTCATTAGGTACAGGGGATATAGAAGAAGTGTGAGACACTGTCTCTGCCCTCAAAGAAGTTTATGATTCCATTCTTGGCAAAGGCAGGCACGTTCAAAGTTGAATAACAGTGAAGTCAGATTCTATTTATTAATTCATTTACCAGTATTGATTGAGTGTGCCTTACTTTGTGTGTGTTTGTGTGTGTACACTGTGGGGGATATACAGCCAGGAGTGAAACAAATTTAGTTTCTCTCCTTATAGTATCATCTAGAGTGTGATATTATTGTTGTGTACAGTAAGAGCTGTAAGAATTCAGAGGGAGTTTTGCCTTTAAGAGAAAGTGAGGTTTGTGCCAGGTCTTGGAAGAGCTTCCTATTTACACCTCAACCATCCTTCAACTGCCAGCACTGACTGCTACTTCCTGTCCTTCCATCTTTCGCTGTCCCTGTTGCTTCATCTACTCTTTTGAGTTTACAAAGACCTAGTCCCTGTATCATTCCTTTCCCTCATTTCTCCATTGAAACTGCTTCCACCCCTGTCCAGTGCAGTCCCCACATTCCATATATTCACCTTCTCTGGGCAAGCGATCTCAGCCTCTTGGGGCGCTTTTCTTCAGCCCCGTCACTGTAAACCTCTTGGTCAAACTCCTGATCACTCCAACCATCCAGATTCTCACAGGCTGACTCGGCTGATGAGCACTTCTTCAGAGAAATCACACATCCAGGAGGATTGACACCACCACAGTATGTTGCCTCAGCCAGGATCATTTTATCCTCCTAGGACCCGTGTAGTCGTAGTCATTTTCCTCCATTATTCTCTTTACTGCTTTTTCCAAATGATACCCTTCCTTAAAGACAGTCTTATCTCTTCCTTTACTGAGAAAATTGATGGTATCAATTGTTTTTTTAAAAAAAGTGGTTAAACAACGCCCTCAACTCTGCTTTCCTGTCTCAGTCCTCTAGCACATTTATATACAGACTCACTCTCCAAGGCTCACTCCACCTGTTTGATTGCCTGATGAATACCAAGTACTTTATGAGGCAGTAGCTGGAACTATGTATTCTCAGTGCAGTTCCCTAGAAGATAAGCTCCCAACAGTAGTACCTAGAAAGAAAAATGGATGTGACACATAGGAGTTTCTGAAATATTTGTTGAATGAACGCATGTCCCTCTTAACTCTTAGCTAATGTTCTCCGAAAGTTACTCCAGCTCTCTTCTATTTAAAGGAAAGAGATGCCAGTAAAGGACCCCCCTTTGCCATGAGCCCCCTCCTGCTATGTTTATCCGCACTCCCTTTTCCTTCATAGCCAGTCTTCTTCAATGGATAGTCGACGCTACTACTTTTAGATCCTTTTTTTAAAATTTGTACTTCTATGGAACAGGGAATGTATCCTGAATATCCTTGTATATCGGTGCCTATTTTAGTGTCTTGTGGGCAATCAGTAAGCAATCAACAAGTATAAAAATGAATTGAACATCCTTTGCGTAAAAGAGGGCATTAGAAAGAATTGTTCTGATCTCTATTTGGTTACTAATTTTTAAAAATTCCTTTGAAGTGTGAATGTTACAGACATACGTGGTCTGCAACGCCCTCCAGGGGTCTTTTTTGGTTCTTTCCTATCAAGGTTTCAAAAGTGGCTTGTTTTTGCTCCAACTATACTGTGACTCTGATCCTTCCAGGTGAAGGAGCACCTCCTGGCAACTATGGGAACTATGGCTATGCTAACAGTGGCTATAGTGCCTGTGAAGAAGAAAACGAGAGACTCACTGAAAGTCTGAGAAGCAAAGTAACTGCTATAAAATCTGTAAGTATTTAAAAGATGTTATATACTGTCAAATTTATGTCTTTATGTACATACGTATTATATACTTATAAACTGTGTATGTTATTGGCATCATACCAAGGAATTCAGTTACCCAAGGTGTGTCTTGTTCAGCAAGGTCAAAATGCACTCAAAATTTAAACATGATTTGAGTAGAAGATTAGAAAATGGGGCCAATCAAAACATATGGTACATTTATTTTTTTTAAACTTCCACTGTTTTTTTGTGGGTAAATCTACAGTACTGTATGTTGTCTACTGTATGTTGTCTGTAGTAATGTCTCAGAGCAGTCTATCTTCTGCCCCAAGCAGCTCTTTTCCTGACTTTTCTTCCTCTTGTATTCTGAGCTACACATCTCAGTGTTTCATGTTTCTTCTACCTTTGTACCTGTCACTCACTGAGTTTTGTGCTTCTTTCTGTTTCTGTTTCTACTTTTCTTTCTTTCTTTCTTTTTTTTTTTAAAGATTTTTTTATTTATTTATTTGACAGAGAGAGAGAGACACAGCGAGAGAGGGATCACAAGCAGGGGGAGTGGGAGAGGGAGAAGCAGGCTTCCCGCGGAGCCGGGAGCCCGACGCGGGGCTCGATCCCAGGACCCCGGGATCGTGACCCGAGCCGAAGGCAGACGCCCAACAGCTGAGCCACCCAGGCACCCCCGTTTCTGCTTTTCTATTTCGGATGCTATCCCCTGGTTTTCTTAGGTGAACTACTGAGGGAGCCCCTTAACCTGTTTGTTCCTCGTTTTTTTGCACATTCTATTCCGAGCTACATACTGTCACCACAGCCATCTTTTTGGAGTGTTTTTTAAATTGCATCTTATGCTCCCAGAAGTCTCCAGTGTCTTCCCATGATGTAAGAATGATATTCACACTCTAGCTTGACCAGATAAGTCCTTCAGAGGTTGTCCACAGCTTTTCAGACCTTATGCTCCTCACTTCTGGAAACATGTATATGTTTTCTGCCAGACAAATTAGTGTCTGGTGTGTGTTCACTGGCTGTCTGCTTGTACTACTCCCGTGTCTTTGATCCTGCTGTCCCTTTGCCTTAGCAGTGTCCTCTCCCTCCTTACATGCACTGAAGGCTTGCCCATAGTAGAGGCTCCACTTCACTGCACTCCTTCCTTCTTGAAAGCTTTACCTGATTATCACATCAAAAGTAACTTTTTTTCCATGTGAACATAAGACCATTTGTACCATTTCTCTAGCATGTATCGCATAGGGATCTGCATTGGAATTATTTGTATGTAAAAGAAATTTACCAGAATGTAGGGTTTTCTACTGTATTTATTTTTATCTTTTACACAGCACCTAAGCATAATTCCTTGTTGGTGGTATTGAGCTTAATATGTATTAAACAAAGGAATTACAAAAAGGTGATTTTAACAGCGTATGTGATTGATTCTATATTACGTTAAACATGCTATACACGAATAGAGCATTCAGTAGAAGCTCATGTTGCCAAAACTTAATTGGTATTTCATTAGTCTTTGGAAAATAGAATTGTATTCAGCCTGGAGACTATTACATTCAGAACGAGTATTGTTTTCGAAGTTATATTAAATCAAAAGGAGTTGATCAGTGAACTAAGTAATACTGTATAATGTTACAATTTAGAAAATCAACATTTAGAGGGAATTAAGAATTAAATGTTCTTCGTTTTTTGTTTTTTAAACTCCAACATTGATAATTTAGGCTTCTTGTTAGAAGAAAGGTTTTTTTCCCCTGGAAATTTCTTTTCCTTGGCATGAATGACAGTTGTAGAAAGTAGTTAGGTGATTTGGCCTACTTAGCTTTATAGTTGCTTTATTATCTCTGAATTGTTAAATTTGGGTAAAAAGCTCACGTTCTCATCTGTAGAATTCTAGTACAGTTTTGTGTCAGTATCACCCCATATACTTTCCACCACAAGATAAGTTGAGAACAATATTTGCAGTGGTTCGCCAAGATTTTCATTTGTTGCTTGTAATTTATCCAAATATCTTGGAAGTAAAGCCTTTGATGAATTTGTTATATAAAGTATTAAATAGGTTTTGGTCTGAATAGCAGCCATAACCACATAAATAGCATTTCTTTTAGGCTCATCCTCTTTCTGTATAGCTCAGGATGGAGGTAACAATAACCTGTCAATTTTTTTCCAATTTGTTATCATATTTTCTTTTTATTTAAAGATTTTTATTTATTTATTTGACAGAGGGAGAGTGTGTGTGTGCATGCACAAGCAGGGGGAGCGGCAGGCAGAGGGAGAGGGAAGCAGGCTCACCTCTGAGCAGAGAGCCTGACATGGGGCTCAATTCTAGGACCCTGGGATCATGACCTCAGCCGAAGGCAGATGCTTAACCGACTGAACCACCCAGGCGCCCTTACTATCATATTTTAAAGAAAAATACCTTTAGAATCTAAATAACCAGTTGAGGCATATATTCAAAGTAATGTCCCACTTCATTAAAAAAATATTAAATACTTAATGTAAATTTGAATTGGTAAGATGGGTACCTATATATATCTTTTTAAACATAAAGATGGGGGCTCCTGGGTGGCTCAGTCGGTTAAGTGTCTGCCTTTGGCTCAGGTCATGACCCCAGGGTCCTGGGATCGAGACCCACGTCTTCGGGCTCCTTGCTCAGCGGGGAGCCTGCTTCTCCCTCTCCCTCTGCTCCCCTGCCCCTGGTCTATCTCAAATAAATAAATAAAATCTTAAAAAAAAAGTAAAGAAGAAAATATACAGATAAATGATGTATAAATTTAAGAGAGGAAGAAAAAAGCATGCAAGGCTAAGAGATTCAGAGAGAAGTATGTACCAAAATTAAAAGATGGAATTGAGTATTAAGATGAAATCAAAATGAAGAGCAGGGAGACAATATCCATAGTTGGGAAGGAGTAGAAATTCTAAATTTGTTTTCCTTTAATGTCAGTGGAAAAAATATCAGAAGAAAGTATATGTATTTTATATTTTTAGAAGACAGTTTTATTTGAGAAAATGAGTGTGCTTAGAGTGGTATTATTTTTACTTTATGACACTTAAATACCTTTATATGAGTAATAATGTATGTGCTTTTTTTTAAATAGCTTTCCATTGAAATAGGCCATGAGGTTAAACATCAAAATAAATTATTAGCTGAAATGGTAAGTGGTTCTGAGTTTAAATTGAATAAATTTGATCTAATATTCTCAATTTTAGTCTGTTAATCATTTTAACTTTTATCCATTTTGAAATTAGAGATTATAAGTCCTGGATTCCTGCCCTTTTGTATCTCATTGCTTTGAAATAATTAATGTTTGTTTATTTTCCCACTTTTCATCTCGCCTAACACAAGTGGGAGGATGAGGTAGAAGCCATTGTATCTTTCATCTTGTATTTAGAAACACTGTTAAAGACTCAGGACAAATGACTGTTTTGAGTGTTCTTGGAGATCTCAATGGATACAGACTACCAAGTAATCAAAAAGCACTTCATATCCAACCAGGTGAATGCCTTTCACTTAATGTGAGCCCATTTCTTTCGCTTGATCTCCTAAGGATCACTTCTGAACAAATCAATAAGATTTGAACATAGTAACATCCCAGAGCCTTTTATCTCAAGTCTCAGTGAGCTCAGCAACATATACCTTTTCTTATAGAGCCTATTTCCATTCCTGAATGTTTATTTTGGATGTCACTTCTCTGGACCTTCCCTAGTTTCGCCACTTGCTTTTAAAATTGTATTACTCAAAAATGAATATGGCATTAAAAAATGAATATGGCATTGAAAGCAACGTTCGTATGGAGGTTGTACGTTAGAATCACCAGGGGAACTTTCTGAAAATATTTATGCCTGGTTCCCAATCTAAATATACTGATAAAGAATTTCAGGGGGAAGGACCTATACATATGTACTGTGAAAAAAGAAAGTGTCCCAGGTCATTGTGATACATAACCCTGGTGAAGAACTATAGATCTAAAGTGCTTGAAGTCCATAGAACCTGAGCTGTGCAAAGGCTGTCATTATGCTGGGGCCTTTACATCTTAGGATATTGAGATTTCTATGGAAGTGCAGTATTTCTTTTTTTTTTTAAAAAGATTTTATTTATTTATTCATGAGAGACAGAGGAGAGAGAGAGAGAGAGAGAGAGAGAAGCAGAGGGAGAAGCAGGCTCCCAAGGAGCAGGGATCCTGATGCGGGACTCGATCCCAGGACCCTGGGATCATGACCCGAGCCGAAGGCAGACGCTTAACCATCTGAGCCACCCAGGCGCCCAGGAAGTGCAGTATTTCTAATCCACACCTAGTCCTCTCATCTTAAGGACTTAATATGGTAGTTTTCCCCATCCATATTTGTAGTCTTAACCATGATATTCTCTTAACTTTTAATAGACTCTACTGTACTTCAAGGTCAGCTGTCTAAATAAAAGGATCTTAAAAGTAAAGTACATTTAACTGCTAACCATATTAAATTTTGGATGAATTATTGTACTGAATTACGGAAAGCACCAACCATTTGACCTGGGAGAGCAGTGCCCCAACAAAAACAGAAAATACCTGTATGATAATAGACAAACTACATACCTTTATTGTTAATGTTTTTTTAATTCACATGATTGGGAAAAGACCCAAATAGTTTGGGATTTTGAATTACTCTGGTGCTGAAAGAAATGTTTATTGGTCAATGAAAGAGCTTTTTATTCATTGAGAGAATTACTCGGTTTTGCACGGAGTAATCAGACTTGATTATACAAGTTACAGACAGGCTCCTGAATTGATTAAACATTAAAAATGTATTCTAATAACAGTATATTCAATTACTTAAATGTGCATATGTCGAATATTAGAATCTAACTATTCTGTTTTCCTCTTTTCCTCACAGGATTCACAATTTGATTCTACAACTGGATTTCTAGGTAAAACTATGGGAAAACTGAAGATTTTATCTAGAGGGAGCCAAACAAAGCTGCTGTGCTATATGATGCTGTTTTCATTATTTGTCTTTTTCGTCATTTATTGGATTATTAAACTGAGGTGATGCAAGTGAGTTTGGAATTTGTTCCAGCTTAACTGTTTGGAGTGCCACGTTGGTAAAAAATCAGCATCAAAACATTCCAAATTTTCAAATGTTAATGATTTTTTCCATTGAGGATTACTGAATTTTATTTGTTTTATAAATCACATTAGATAACACAGTGCTCTTTGAATACTGTTGCTTAATGATACATTTTTTGCCCCTATTTTCAGGGGTATTGAGATGGCCTGAAGTCACTCTGGCCCTAACAATTTTTTTTCCTGTTGTTCGCTGTCAGATTAAATAGCCATCTAATACTGTTATGCTGTTAGCATAAATGTAGGCTTATGTTCCATGTGAAGAAACTTAGTGGGAGAATAACAGAATCCCTGGAGAGCCTGATGCTGAACTCTTGAGGTAGTGAACAAGTGTGTAGGGAATGGTGTATGTATTTTCCCTAATTGTCATCAGCCCTGATAATGTACTGCCCTTTCCTCCTCTCTTTGGTTAAAATCGCTTAGGCTGATTTCCTTTTACCTACAGTTTTCCTCAAAAATTTTGATGACATGACTCCTCTTTCCCCTCTGCCCAATGACCTCATCTTTTACTGAAGCTTTTTATTTTGGCACAGTTCTTGTAGGGCCCAAAACAAATGTGTACCAGTCTAGTTATTGTTTTATATTAATTTTATACAAACCATTGACTTGGCTTACAATAGTTCAATGATTTTAGCGACTTAGGTAGGCCATTTGGTTATCATTTGTGACAGAATGATGAGAAGCTAAAGTAATTGCTAAGCTCTGAATCGAAATAAAATTAACTGCCTCTGCTTTATTTTGTGTTCAAAATAGATATTGAAAGTACTCAGGCATTGAACTTGGGGTTAAGAGTGTTGTTGCTTTAATCCAGTATATTTGTTTATGGAAAGAAAAACAAAGATGGACAGAAAGAAATATTAAGATGTTCTTAAATACTCTGTATTACTACTGTTTGGAATTTCCCCATTTATGGGTTCTAAAAATAAAATTTTTAATGAAATATATTGTCTTTGTTGCCTCTTTGTTCAAGTCTCTGTCTGTCTCTTTTTTTAACATAGAAACTGAGAAAGGGTCCTGAAACCAGGTCCCAAACAAAATCCGGAAAAGATAATATATTATTTCAGAACTTGATTCAAACAAGTTATTATTATTTTGATAAATCATGACTGCAATTTCAAAAATCTCTTTAATTCCCTATATTTTTAGTTGAAAGTCTCTTACCTTTGATTCTGCTGAGTGTGCAATCCTTTTTTGCTCATCCTTAATTACCTAATAGTTTAGGTCCTGTCTTTGGCTTTGTTTGTCATCACTTGGGCCTCTATTTGACAGAAACACCAGAAGTGAGAAGGGTTAAGTGACTTCACATATAAGAAACAGCCCTGCCCCCCCTCCAAAAAAAACACCCAAAGAAACAGGCCCAAGGTCTTGTGACGTGATGTGAGAGACTCTGATTTGAGGTAGATGACCTGAGTTCAGATCTCTGTTCCTTCCCTTGCTCAATGTTTTTGGGCCTGTTTCTTCATTAAATCACGTATTTCATAGGATTGTTGTCAGAGGTAGATGTTATTGAAAATATGTGACACACCATCACTCAATAAATGTTAGTTCTCCCTATCCTTAACACACACATCAGAAAAGTGACTTATTTTAAGAGCAAGACAATATGGTGGTTTCAGGTTTTGAGGTGATGCTGTGACTTCCAAGCAGAAATGCCTCTCAATTAGAGACTGATTCAGTTTTCAAGAATTATTTAACTGTGTATTCTGTGCCAATTATGTGACATCAGAGCTCGGGAAGACTTGTCAATAATTAAAATTGCAAAAGGAAGAGCAGAAGGCCAAAGAAAAAATGATTGGAAGATGGGAACAGAAGAGAATCAACAGTGGAAGTAAATGAGATCAAAGCCTTGGGAAAACCAGTGATGGCAAGTGAAGGATGGATTTCAAGGTTAAGGTTTAGCTGTTAGATGACAATCTTGGTAAAGTACTAAAACACTATTTCAGGGGCGCCTGGGTGGCTCAGATGGTTAAGCATCTGCCTTTGGCTCAGTTTATAATCTCTAGGTCCTGGGATGGAGCCCCACGTCAGGCTGGGAGCCCACTGAGCTGGGAGCCTGCTTCTCCCTCTTCCCCTGCTTGTGCTCTCTCTGTCTTTGTGTCTCTCTTCCAAACGAATTAAAAAAAAATTTTTTTTTTCAATATTGGGTATTATCAAGGGGATGGGGATTTCAGGGAAAGGGGCTTGGGGTGATATAAACGTGATTCTCATCATTGCACTGTCCAGCATTTCTTATTTGATGATTTGTTTTTTAGAATTGCCTAAGGTCCCTAACCAGCATTTCCTATTACTCCCTCATCACTGCCTTGGCTGAGATTCCTGGGAGGCAGGAGACTCCTCTGGAAGGGACTGTCCTGCCTTGTCAGAGATTTTTCAGCAGTACCTTTTCTCCTCGCGTTTGGGGGACCCCTAGCAAAAAGTACTCCCAGAAACAAAATTTGGGGGAAACATCAAATATGGAAAAGCTCTAATCCTTTATAATCTTTTGCAAACCCGTTGCTAACTCTGAAAAATACCTTATTGCTATAGATGCCTGGGAAGTTGGTCATAATAGTTGAACAGGCAACATATCCACATTATAGTTTTCATTCAAACAACAAAAGACTTGCAGATATTTGGGTGATGGGTGATACACTATAAATTTTACATTTTAAATGGTGAAGCAAATTCAGGAAATAATTTATGAAAATCCCAAATGTCCAAATTTTTCTGCAAAGTGTCTACTCACTTCATTTCACTAGCAGTTGGTCCTTGGAAGTGCTGACACATTTGCAAATGATAGAAAGTATAACTACCTGCACCATCCCCTATGGACACAAGGTGTAGGTCTCTACAATAAGCAAAGGGAGAATTATACATATTACTGCTAGAATTTAAATTAGCATAGAAATTAATTCATGGATACTCCTTGAATAGAGAATAGCTGTTAAACCTAAAACAAATATGCATCATCTTAAACAGAATTCTGGAACAGAAAACCCCAGCACCTGCTCCCATAGAGCACTGCTAGTTCTAAAAAATAAACTAGTTGTCCTAATTTTTCAATGCTCTCAAATTTCAAATTATATGTATTGAATTTGCTTCCTTGTAAAGGAAGTGGGAAAAGTGCTTGATAATTTGGGTACATTCAGTCAGTAAATAACTTCATCAGGGTATACTGATGAATAACCTTTGACTAAATATTTACTGGGAAGCAGAATAGCATCATAGCTGAGACAAAGAGCTATGGGGTCAACCTGTCTGAGCATAAATCCTGGTTCCCACTCACACTATGAGTTTGGGCTGATGGCCTCTCCACCTCAGTTACTCTATTTGTAAAACAGCAGTAAAAATTTTGTGTAGGTAGCGGTAACACACAGCATTACTGGGCTACTGAAGTGCTATTCCTCGTAAAGAAGTTAGAATGGGTTCCTGGGATTCAGTAGTACTTCTGGGGTCAGGACACTTAGGAATCTAATGGGTCCTGCTCACCCACATGTTGCTGAAACAGTTTTGGCCGCTTGCTCCCTGCTGCCAGACCCCCACCCCGCCACCACCATCCTGCTGGGGCTAGAAGCAGCTATTTGTCTTCCTTCTGCTAGTGAGAGGTCGCCAGTTTCTGGAATTTAGTTCATTAGGTTTCTTTGCAGCCTCAGCAATCTGATGGGATTTTTTTAAAACCTATGATTTTCCAGTATATCTAGCTTATATGGGTTCTTAGAATGAGAGCAACAGACGTCAACTTTGGAAGCAGAAATCTCAAGAGAGAAACTTAGAAAGTTCTCTACCTGTAGAGGTTTGATAAACAGTTGGTAAACATTCTATTTCCTTTTACTTTTTCTACAGTTATATATATATATATTTTAAAGATTTTATTTATTTATTTGACAGAGAGAGACACAGCGAGAGCAGGAACACAAGCAGGGGCAGTGGGAGAGGGAGAAGCAGGCTTCCCGCGGAGGAGGGAGCCCGATGCGGGGCTCGATCCCAGGACACTGGGATCATGACCTGAGCCGAAGGCAGATGTTTAATGACTGAGCCACCCAGGCACCCCTACAGTTATATTTTTAAATTCTAGTTTGAAACTTACTGAATTACTGGATGAGGTACGGGGTGCAAATAATTTTCTTTTTAACTTAAAAAGGGCCAGAGAGTTATTCTCACAGTAAATACTGGAGAACACTTTCTTCTTCTATATTGTTAGAGTATAAGATTGGGTCTTTTTCTGGAGTATGTATTTCGTTCTATCCAATTTTTTATCCTTGCACCAGTACCACGTTTTTTAATTATTGGACTTTTGTAGTGTTTTAATAGCTAATAGATACCTATTCATTCTTTCTGATGAACTTAATTATACTTGAATAATATTTTAATAAAACAGTGGATTTTGACAAGAACCATATTAATCTTTTATAATATCCTCTGAAAAAAATCTCTAAAATGTTTCCCTAATTGGAAGGTTGGATTTTGACCCCAAATTTCTCTTTTCCTTTCATTATATGTTGATGTTTAATGCTATAGTGGTAAACCAGCTTTCTGGGGCTAGGAGTGTGATTTATAGTACTTTCTTTCTCTTTGGTGTAAATATTCCCACCACACTTGATTTCAAGTTACCGATGTGACATCACTGAACACAGAGTTGTGAAAATATACATACATTTGGCTCTCATGAGCTGGTACAAGCTAGCACTAGTGTACCACTGGCTATACTGATGATAAATATTCTTTTAAAAGAAATAGGGGCGCCTGGGTGGCTCAGGCGTTAAGCGTCTGCCTTCGGCTCAGGACATGATCCCAGGGTCCTGGGATAGAGCCCCGCATCGGGCTCCCCGCTCAGCGGGAAGCCTGCTTCTCCCTCTCCCGCTCCCCCTGCTTGTGTTCCCTCTCTCGCTGTGTTTCTCTCTGTCAAATAAATAAATAAAATTTTAAAAGAAATAGGGGCGCCTGGGTGGCTCAGTCAGTTAAGCATCCAACTCTTGATTTCAGCTCAGGTCAAGATCTCAGGGTCATGAGATCGAGCCCCAAATGGGCTCCACAGTGCAGGTGGAGTCTGCTTAAGATTCTCTCCTCTCTCCTACTCCCTCTGCCCCCCTCCCTCTTCCTAAAAAAAAAAAAAAAAGTTATTTGTTTTCTAAATGAGAATCACTCACTTAAATTTTAATGGAGAAAAAATGAGGCAATATGGAGTAAAATTGATAAATTAACTTGAGAATAATATTTTTCAATATATTTCAATGGCAATATGGAGTAAAAT